GAAACTTTCTCAGGTTTGCTCGATTTTGAATTATTTCGCTATGTGAGTTATGTGAAATTAAATAAAAATTATATAGGAGTATGCAGGCCTAGGTGGTAATGTAAATTTTATTAAGCACGAACTTGAAAGTCAGATAAATTATAACCTTGGAAAAGGATTTGTGAGTATAATAACTAAATAAAATTACAAAAAGATAGCTAACAATTTGTATATAACATAAATAGATTTTCAGTGCATCATTGAGAAATGGACTGCTGTACCCTTTAGACGGGAAGCCTTCAAAAATCAGCGACAGATTTTTCCTGGGGGGAGTTCAATCGATACGAGGATTTAAGCTAAATGGCATTGGTCCTATAGAAGATAGGAGTGCGTAGTGAATCAAAATACATATTCTTTATAACTGTTTTGAGATTTCGAAAACTTTATTGAGGTTTGGCTAATATTTTTGTATTGAAATTTAGAGGATTCACTTGGCGGTGATATTTATATAGCTGGTGGTGCGAGTTTATTTACACCATTGCCGAGAATTCGTCGATTGCAATTGAAAGGGCATTTATTTATAAACGGAGGAAACTTGGTACAATTAAATCAAAGTAGGCGATTTCAATTATATTTGTCCCCCATATAGCAATATTAATTATTATTAAACATATTAGGATTAAACTTATATGACAATATTCAACGGCTTAAAACTGCACCGAGTGTTGCTACAGGTTTTGGTATTGTCTATCGAAGCAGTCTTTTACGATTTGAACTGAATTTCTGTTTACCCTTAATTGCAACCACAACTGATAAAGTGAAAAAAGGATTTCAATTGGGATTGGGTTTTAATTTCTGGTGATAATTTAATTCGTGATCCGTAATCCGCACCCCAATAAAAGTCAGCATTTAACTTCGATCCAGGATTATATATGAGTTGCTAAGATTCGTTTTTCTCAGAACTTTTTTTCATTTGTTCTGTAAAAATATCTAAACTTTTGCGAATAATTTTGAATTAAACATTTTGAAAAATAAATAACATTACTAGTACGATTTTTTTATATGCTTATTTGTTTCTATTTATTATTAATAATTGATGCTTTATAAATGTTTGTTATTTCACATGAATTGTATTATGTGAAAGAAAATTTACAGATGCTTATAATCATTTGCTATTTTTATTAAAAGATTGTTGATAGAAACAGTTATATATAAAAGTTGAAACTAATCGAGTTTAAGGAAGCTTAAATAAG